CAGCGTAACAGCCTAACAGCGTAACAACCTAACAGCGTATCAGCGTAACAGCCAAACAGCATAACAGCCTAACGGCGTAACAACCTAACAGCGTAACAGGGTAACAGCCTAACAGCGTAACAGCCTAACAACGTAAAAGCCAAACAGCCTAACAGCGTAACAGCGTAACAGCGTAACAGCCTAACAGCGTAACAGCCTAACAGCGTAACAGCGTAACAGCCTAACAGCGTAACAGCCTAACAGCGTAACAGCCTAACAGCGTAACAGCCTAACAGCGTAACGGCCTAACAGCGTAACAGCCTAACAGCTAACAGCGTAACAGCGTAACAGCGTAACAGCCTAACAGCGTAACAGCCTAACAGCGTAACAGCCTAACAGCGTAACAGCCTAACATCCTAACAGCGTAACAGCCTAACAGCGTAACAGCGTAACAGCCTAACAGCGTAACAGCCTAACAGCGTAACAGCGTAATAGCCTAACAGCGTAACATCGTAACAGCCTAACAGCGTAACAGCCTAACAGCGTAACAGCGTAACAGCCTAACAGCGTAACATCGTAACAGCCTAACAGCCTAACAGCCTAACAGCGCAACAGCGTAACAGCCTAACAGTGTAACAGCGTAACAGCCTAACAGCGTAACAGCCTAACAGCGTAACAGCGTAACAGCCTAACAGCGTAACAGCCTAACAGTGTAACAGCCTAACAGCGTAACAGCATAACAGCAGCCTAACAGCGTAACAGCCTAACAGCGTAACCGCCTAACAGCGTAACAGCGTAACAGCCTAACAGCGTAACAGCGTAACAGCCTAACAGCGTAACAGCCTAACAGCGTAACAGCCTAACAGCGTAACAGCCTAACAGCCTAACAGCGTAACAGCCTAACATCGTAACTGCATAACAGCGTAACAGCTAAACAGCGTAACAGCCTAACAGCCTAACAGCGTAACAGCCTAACAGCGTAACAGCCTAACAGCGTAACAGCCTAACAGCGTAACAGCGTAATAGCGTAACAGCCTAACAGCCTAACAGCCTAACAGCCTAAAAGCGTAACAGCGTAACAGCATAACAGCCTAACAGCCTAACAGCCTAACAGCGTAACAGCGTAACAGCCTAACAGCGTAACAGCCTAACAGCGTAACAGCGTAACAGCCTAACAGCGTAACAGCCTAACATCGTAACAGCGTAACAGCGTAACAGCCGAACAGCCTAACAGCGTAACAGCCTAACAGCGTAACAGCCTAACAGCGTAACATTCTAACAGCGTAACAGCCTAACAGCCTAACAGCGTAACAGCCTAACGGCGTAACAGCCTAACAGCGTAACAGCCTAACGGTGTAACAGCCTAACAGCCTAACAGCGTAACAGCCTAACAGCGTAAAAGCATAACAGCGTAACAGCCTAACAGCGTAACAACCTAACAGCGTAACAGCCTAACAGCCTAACAGCGTAACAGCGTAACAGCCTAACAGCGTAACAGCCTAACAGCGTAACAGCGTAACATCCTAACAGCGTAACAGCCTAACATCGTAACAGCGTAACAGCGTAACAGCCTAACAGCGTAACAGCCTAACAGCGTAACAGCCTAACAGCGTAACAGCCTAACATCCTAACAGCGTAACAGCCTAACAGCGTAACAGCGTAACAGCCTAACAGCGTAACAGCCTAACAGCGTAACAGCGTAATAGCCTAACAGCGTAACATCGTAACAGCCTAACAGCGTAACAGCCTAACAGCGTAACAGCGTAACAGCCTAACAGCGTAACATCGTAACAGCCTAACAGCCTAACAGCCTAACAGCGCAACAGCGTAACAGCCTAACAGTGTAACAGCGTAACAGCCTAACAGCGTAACAGCCTAACAGCGTAACAGCGTAACAGCCTAACAGCGTAACAGCCTAACAGTGTAACAGCCTAACAGCGTAACAGCATAACAGCAGCCTAACAGCGTAACAGCCTAACAGCGTAACCGCCTAACAGCGTAACAGCGTAACAGCCTAACAGCGTAACAGCGTAACAGCCTAACAGCGTAACAGCCTAACAGCGTAACAGCCTAACAGCGTAACAGCCTAACAGCCTAACAGCGTAACAGCCTAACATCGTAACTGCATAACAGCGTAACAGCTAAACAGCGTAACAGCCTAACAGCCTAACAGCGTAACAGCCTAACAGCGTAACAGCCTAACAGCGTAACAGCCTAACAGCGTAACAGCGTAATAGCGTAACAGCCTAACAGCCTAACAGCCTAACAGCCTAAAAGCGTAACAGCGTAACAGCATAACAGCCTAACAGCCTAACAGCCTAACAGCGTAACAGCGTAACAGCCTAACAGCGTAACAGCCTAACAGCGTAACAGCGTAACAGCCTAACAGTGTAACAGCCTAACATCGTAACAGCGTAACAGCGTAACAGCCGAACAGCCTAACAGCGTAACAGCCTAACAGCGTAACAGCCTAACAGCGTAACATTCTAACAGCGTAACAGCCTAACAGCCTAACAGCGTAACAGCCTAACGGCGTAACAGCCTAACAGCGTAACAGCCTAACGGTGTAACAGCCTAACAGCCTAACAGCGTAACAGCCTAACAGCGTAAAAGCATAACAGCGTAACAGCCTAACAGCGTAACAACCTAACAGCGTAACAGCCTAACAGCCTAACAGCGTAACAGCGTAACAGCCTAACAGCGTAACAGCCTAACAGCGTAACAGCGTAACATCCTAACAGCGTAACAGCCTAACATCGTAACAGCGTAACAGCGTAACAGCCTAATAGCGTAACAGCCTAACAGCCTAACAGCGTAACAGCCTAACATCGTAACTGCATAACAGCGTAACAGCTAAACAGCGTAACAGCCTAACAGCCTAACAGCGTAACAGCCTAACAGCGTAACAGCCTAACAGCGTAACAGCCTAACAGCGTAACAGCGTAATAGCGTAACAGCCTAACAGCCTAACAGCCTAACAGCCTAAAAGCGTAACAGCGTAACAGCGTAACAGCCTAACAGCCTAACAGCCTAACAGCGTAACAGCGTAACAGCCTAACAGCGTAACAGCCTAACAGCGTAACAGCGTAACAGCCTAACAGCGTAACAGCCTAACATCGTAACAGCGTAACAGCGTAACAGCCTAACATCGTAACAGCGTAACAGCGTAACAGCCGAACAGCCTAACAGCGTAACAGCCTAACAGCGTAACAGCGTAACAGCCTAACAGCGTAACATTCTAACAGCGTAACAGCCTAACAGCCTAACAGCGTAACAGCCTAACGGCGTAACAGCCTAACAGCGTAACAGCCTAACGGTGTAACAGCCTAACAGCCTAACAGCGTAACAGCCTAACAGCGTAAAAGCATAACAGCGTAACAGCCTAACAGCGTAACAACCTAACAGCGTAACAGCCTAACAGCCTAACAGCGTAACAGCGTAACAGCCTAACAGCGTAACAGCCTAACAGCGTAACAGCGTAACATCCTAACAGCGTAACAGCCTAACATCGTAACAGCGTAACAGCGTAACAGCCTAACAGCGTAACAGCCTAACAGCCTAACAGCGTAACAGCCTAACATCGTAACTGCATAACAGCGTAACAGCTAAACAGCGTAACAGCCTAACAGCCTAACAGCGTAACAGCCTAACAGCGTAACAGCCTAACAGCGTAACAGCCTAACAGCGTAACAGCGTAATAGCGTAACAGCCTAACAGCCTAACAGCCTAACAGCCTAAAAGCGTAACAGCGTAACAGCGTAACAGCCTAACAGCCTAACAGCCTAACAGCGTAACAGCGTAACAGCCTAACAGCGTAACAGCCTAACAGCGTAACAGCGTAACAGCCTAACAGCGTAACAGCCTAACATCGTAACAGCGTAACAGCGTAACAGCCTAACATCGTAACAGCGTAACAGCGTAACAGCCGAACAGCCTAACAGCGTAACAGCCTAACAGCGTAACAGCGTAACAGCCTAACAGCGTAACATTCTAACAGCGTAACAGCCTAACAGCCTAACAGCGTAACAGCCTAACGGCGTAACAGCCTAACAGCGTAACAGCCTAACGGTGTAACAGCCTAACAGCCTAACAGCGTAACAGCCTAACAGCGTAAAAGCATAACAGCGTAACAGCCTAACAGCGTAACAACCTAACAGCGTAACAACCTAACAGCCTAACAGCGTAACAGCGTAACAGCCTAACAGCGTAACAGCCTAACAGCGTAACAGCGTAACATCCTAACAGCGTAACAGCCTAACATCGTAACAGCGTAACAGCGTAACAGCCTAACAGCGTAACAGCCGAACAGCCTAACAGCGTAACAGCCTAACAGCGTAACAGCGTAACAGCCTAACAGCGTAACATTCTAACAGCGTAACAGCCTAACAGCCTAACAGCGTAACAGCCTAACGGCGTAACAGCCTAACAGCGTAACAGCCTAACGGTGTAACAGCCTAACAGCCTAACAGCGTAACAGCCTAACAGCGTAAAAGCATAACAGCGTAACAGCGTAACAGCGTAACAGCCTAACAGCGTAACAGCCTAACAGCGTAACAGCCTAACAGCGTAACAGCCTAACAGCGTAACAGCCTAACGGCGTAACAGCCTAACAGCGTAACAGCCTAACGGTGTAACAGCCTAACAGCCTAACAGCGTAACAGCCTAACAGCGTAAAAGCATAACAGCGTAACAGCCTAACAGCGTAACAGCCTAACAGCGTAACAGCCTAACGGCGTAACAGCCTAACGGCGTAACAGCCTAACAGCGTAACAGCCTAACGGTGTAACAGCCTAATAGCCTAACAGCGTAACAGCCTAACAGCGTAAAAGCATAACAGCGTAACAGCCTAACAGCGTAACAGCCTAACAGCGTAACAGCCTAACAGCGTAACAGCCTAACAGCGTAACAGCCTAACAGCGTAACAGCCTAACGGCGTAACAGCCTAACAGCGTAACAACATAACAGACTAACAACCTAACCGCCTAACAGCCACCACCCACCACCCTCCACCCTCCACCCACCAGGTGTCTGAGGAAAGCAGCCATGTACGGGTGCCGTGTCACAGCCAGCAGCAGCGTGCGGCACACGCTGCGCTGCACGTCCGGCTCCCCAGGCCACACATTCAGCGCCGCCACACCCGCCCTCAGCACCCCCTCCAGTACCGCCAGCCCCCCCTGCCCCTCCCCTGCTCCAAACGCCTGCTCTAGCGCGCCCCCTGCTGCCGCTGATGCGAGGGAGGAGTAGGCAGAGACAGAGGGTGGGGCTGGGGAGAGTGGCGGGGGGTCGGTTTCGGAGTCAAAGGGAGAGGAGTTGGCGTCGGGGGGCTGCGGCAGGAGGTAGGTGAGCGACCAGCGGGCAAAGAACCAGAGGAGCGACTGTGGTGGGGGGAGGAGGGGGTGCGGAGGAGGAGCGAAACGGGGAGAGGGTAACAGAGGGGATGCAGAGGGGGGAGGTAGGAAAGAAGGAAGCCGGGGCTGAACTGGAGGTTTCAATGGAATTATGTGTGACATGAGTTCTGAGCATGAGTTATGAGAGACACTTATGGACACATCCTCACTGTTATCTTGCCGCACCCTTCCCCATCCTTTTCCATCTCACTCCCTCCCTCTTTAACCCTCTCCACCGCTCTGCTCACCTCCATGAGTCGAGGGCTCAGCACGGTGGCGACAGCAGACGGGTTGAGCACAAGCGATGCCACTTCCAGTATGCTCCTGCCGCCATGGGTGGGGTGGTTGGGCACAGGTTGAAGGGCACAGGTTGAAGGGCACAGGTTGAAGGGCACAGGTTGAAGGGCACAGGTTGAAGGGCACAGGTTGATGGTTGGTAGAAACGAAAGAGATAGACGAGGAGGACTAGGGGTATGATGGAAACAGAGGCAAAGGGGGGCATCTCGAGAGCGACAGGAAGTGATGGGATGGCAGGGATGGTGGCGGTACTGACATGGGCAGGGAAGTGGTGAGCGCAGTCAACGACTGGGCGTGGTGTGAGTTGAGCTCATACACGAGGAACACTGGTAGCTGCATAGGTGGCACAGTGGGAAACGGAGAGAGAGAGTGCAAGAGAGGAGGGAAAGGGTGTGCATGCAAGCACATCTGTAACATAGCCAGAAGACGGGGAAGAGAGAGAATAAAACAGAGAGCGTTCACAGCTGGCGACAAGAAGTCCGAATCACACGTCCTAAATGCAGGGGGGAAGACGCAGGGGGAGCGATTTAAGGGGAAACGTAGCATGTACCTCAGGCGTCTCCCCAGTGCCTTCATCCGCTAGCACGTATCCCACCATGCGCACCGTCCACTGCACCTGCTCCATCACCCTCTCCACCTCGCCCTCCGCCGCCCCTGCTCCGCCCCCTGCGGCTGCCGCTGCTGCGTCTGCTGCCTGTGCACACACGCACGCTCCAAGCAAGAGCGTTAAGACACGTTAACTCCGAATGTCCGTGTGCCTTCGTGCATGGAAGCATCCACGTGTGTAAGGCACGTGTGTGTGTATGCTGCACACAGGACACATGCACACATGTGTGAGTGGACCCTCCTCCACCCACCTTGAGCAGCAGTGCCTTCTGGTGGGAGAGCAGGTCGTTGAGCAGTGGCAGGGAGGCTGGCAGGGATGCTCGTGCTAGCGATGCCGCTGCTGCCATGCGCTGCTCCTGAGCTGTACACAGGGGACACAGACATGGGATGCATGTGATGATGGATTAAGTCAAGGGCTTGCCCACAGACAGGTCAGGTTGGAGGTCAGGTTGGAGGTCAGGTTTGACGTCAGGTTGAAGGTCAGGTTTGACGTCAGGTTGAAGGTCAGGTTTGACGTCAGGTTTGACGTCAGGTTTGAGGTGTGTGAAGGGCGGACATGAAGTACAGGAATTAAGGCCTTTGGGCACTCGTAAATCACTCGAGCACTGGGTGTGAGGCACACGCCAGCACACAGCACCTCTTTGAACACGTGTAGTGGTTGGTGCTTGGTGGTTGGTGTGTGGTGTGTGTCTGATGTATGGTGTATTGGAATGTTGAAACGCCTCCCTCCTCTCCTCCTTCACGAAACCCTGTGTGCGCCGCGCCGTGCATGCATGCATGCATTCAAGGCATACACACCTTGGAGGGCGGCTTCCATGTTGTCCTCTGCATCCTCCTCCTCCAACGCTGATGCTGCCGCCGCTGTATGGTGATAGCAAGCACGGCACAGCAGCATTGGCAGGTCGAGATAGGCACGGGTGGAGAAAGCGGGACGACGGAAGAGTGAGAATGTAGACAAGGCAGAGAGGCAGGCAGAGATGCAGGCGGAAAAGACAGTGGGGGATAGGTGAGAGGGGGATAGGTGAGAGGGGACCTTGCAGGTGTATTGAAGATCCTTGGAAAGAATTCCAACAACACCTTACCTTGCAGGTGGTGCCATCAGAAGCACCTTACCTTGCAGGTGGTGCCATAAGAAGCACCTTACCTTGCAGGTGGTGCCATAAGAAGCACCTTACCTTGCAGGTGGTGTTGGGTGAAGGAGCGGAAGGCCTGTGCTGCCACTGGCGCCACCGCATGCATGAGTTGCGACCACTCTGCTGCTGCCGCCGCCGCTGCTGCTGCTTGTTGGTGTGGTGCCGACGCTGGCTGTGAGATGACATGGCACGAGATGCGTGACTCTAGCTGCACGGGCGTCAGTACAGAAGAGTGTAGGTTCAGGGATTAAAGCTCGGGGTCAAGGGTTGAGGGTTGAGTATTGAGGACACACATGTATAGGCAGAGGGGCGTGGAGGCAGTGGAACAGCAGGAAGTGGAGGAAGGAAGGTGAGTGTATGTGTGTGTGTTCAAGCATGCAAATGCTTGTGTGGTAGAAAACGAGTGGTCAGCAAGGAGGAAAGGAAGCCCAGGTCCTCAGCCATGTGGCCCAGGAAAAACAACTCATGAAGTAACAGAAAGAAGGGACAGAAAGAAAAACAAGGCAGAAAGAAGGGTGGTGTGGTACAGTGAGGAGGAAAGCAAGCCAGGTGTCGAGTAGCATGTCGAGGGCGTGGGGCATGGGGCCGTCTAGAGTGTCGTCGTCACTGGCTGCTCCGTGCGCTAGCACTGCACAGGTGAGCTCGCCCACCAGCCCCAGCAGCGTAGGGGGGCACGACGGGCTGTGGGGGTGGCAGGGGTGGGCGGATGGGAGGGGAGAGGGGTGAGAGGGGTGAGAAGGGTGAGAGGATGGGAGGGGGCTAGGGTGAGAAGAGAAGGGCGAGTCACATGGAAGAATGAGTCGATTGAATTACAGTCAAAGCACACACTGCGGAGACTCTATCACTAGCAGTACTACTGTGAGCAAGCAACGTGAGAAAAATAGGATCAGCGGAAGAGACAAAGCAGAAAGCAGGCACGTCCGGCTGGGCACAAGTGGGGAGAAAGAGGAGCAGAGGAGCACCCGTTGGCAGAGCCGTTGGCGCTGGCGTGTGGGGAAGGTGCGGGGGTGGTGGCTAGGAGCGGATGCAGGCGAATGAGCGCCGCCAGTGCCCTACACACGTCCAGAAGCTCCCTGCACGTGCGACATACAAGGATGGAGGACGAGATAGAGAGTAGCATCAACACATCAGGACATCAAGACATGTGATTGTTAGGACAAGTGGCTGGTAAGGCATGGACGTAGAAAGCATGGTCGATAAGTCTAGCAGCATGGGCAAGGCTCACGGGCGGGGCTTGAAACTGAAAAAGAACAGTGCACCAGTGCAGATGTGTTTTTTGAGAATTCTCAAAAAAGACCAGTGCACCAGTGCAGATTTTATTACGATACGACTCTCCCTGTCGTTCTCCCCTCCCAACCACTCCCCTGATGCGGCACCTGTCTGAGATGTGCGCCTGAGCAACAGCAGCGACAGTGGCGGGCAGGGGGGAGAGCCACTGCAGCAGCAGGGAGAGCAGGCGCCCCACGTGCATGCTCACCAGGGATGGGTCTGGGGTGCACAATGGGGGGGAGGGAGAGAGGAGGGGAGGAGGGGCTTTGGGAACTATTGTTGAGGCGTCTCAAAAGGGCTATGCTATGCATGGTGTAACAAGGCATGGAAAAGCATGGCGCGGCATGGCAGGGAAAGCATAGTGTGGGATGGCATGGCAAAGCACAGCACGGCACGGCAAGGCAACTCAAGGAATGGCACGGCACGTCACCAGCAGCAGTGAGGGCGGGGCCGTGCAGGGAGCAGAGCAGCACAGCCATCTGTCTCGTGCGCTCTGCCAGGGGGCCCTCGCGCCAGTCATGCCCTGGGGCACACGTGTGTGGCAGTGCTGCATACACAGACGCCAGCAGCGATAGCAGCTCCGGTGACAGCAGCAGCGGCAGCCACTCGGCGGGCGGCTGTGGGAGCGTCATGTGTAGCGGGCGGAGGAGAGCGAGAGGGATGGCCGAGTAGTGAGAGAGGGGCAATGAGATGCCAAGTACAGACAGGGAAGTTGCACTGCTGTGCTGTAGATTGAGATTTTCAAGATTTCTCACGAACAGCGGGCAGAATCGAGCAGCATGGAGTGCATGTGAGACAACGAGAAGGAGTCCTCGGAGGCGCCTCATAAACAGACTGACTGCCTCATAGGTAGGTAGACTGCTGAGATGAGAAATAGAGTGCGTGCATTACCTTCACGGTGTGCATGTCAGAGGAGGAGCGAACAGTGGAGAGCGAGCCATCGTCGTTGGCCTTGCTTCTTGACGTGCGCACACTGCCTGCCACATGCGTTCATGCCATATGCATGTGAGTGACATGTGCGTGTGGATGCCATGTGCATGTGAGTGCCATGCGCATGTGGGTGCCATGTGCATGTGTGTGCCATGTGCATGTGGGAACGTGAGGGGAATGTGCATCCAACAACACATGCTTGATGGATTGTGCAGGCCTGGGCATGTGACTCTGCAGAGCAGGACATGCAAGTGTGTACGTCCTTGCCTCATGTGTGTGAGCGTGTAACTGCTCCGGTGTGAGTCAAACAAATAGCTGTGCGTGCAGCAGAAGGTGGGTGGTGGTGGTGCGGCGAAAAGGAAAACAAGGGACGAGCGAGAGCGGTGGGAGAAAGTGTGGGGCCGGTTGGGGGAAAGAGCGAGAAAAGCGAGCAGAGGAGCAGAGAGGAGAAGGGCAGGGATGAGGCGGACTGACCGCCAGTGAAGTCCCAAGAGAGCGCAGCGATGAGCACATTCAGGGCCGCTGCCACCACTGCCTGACTGCTGGGCCCCCACACCACTCCCCCCTGAGCCTGCCCTTGCCCTTGCACATGCCCCTGAGTGCCCTCGACCTGTGCCTTGACTGCTGCCATGTGCGCTGCCACTGCGTCCACACACACCATCAGCACTGCCTGGGGACGGATGCATGCGGATGGCGTGGGCAAGGGGTAAAGATGGGTGGGGATGAGTGAGGATGGAGTGGAGATGAGTGGGGAAGAAAGAGAAAATTTCTTGAGGGCGCATGGCATGCTGCTGCCGTGTCTCATGCAGCTGCTTCCACACACACACACACCATCAGCACTGGCTAGGGAAGGAACCGCTAAGAGGTTGTAAGGATGGAAGGGAGAAGGGGGGTTTCATAACAGTGTGGACGTGCATTTAAACATGAAACATAGAGAGGAGAGAGACCGGAAGACTAGAGAGGCAGCTCTTGAAAGCTCTCACACGTGGAGGCGGAGGCACACAGACAGACCCACCATGAGGAAGTGGCGTTGGAAGGCGATGCGGCAGCGATTGTGGAAGTCAGAGGGCAAGGCCAGGGGCGTTGCACTTGCCGGGTTGAACTCACTCACCTGTCACACGGGCACGTGGCGCAGGGGAGTGGGAGGAGAAGGGCGGCTTACGAGGGGCGGAGTGGGGGAATGGGCGAGAGGGGGGGTAGGCGAGACAGGGAGACAGTTGGAAAAGCTAGAAGTTGATATAGAGAGTTCTCAAAGGTGACACACACAGAGGTGATGATGAGAGATGGAGGGATTGGGATAGATGCAGAGGTTTGTAGACATGGACAGGGCACTCACTCTCCACTGGGAAAGAACAGGGGAACCCAGAGTGGTGTGTCATGCACGCATGAGATGAGTGCATGGCATGGCATGACATGGCATGGCATAGCAAGGCAGGAAAAGGCATGGCATGGCATGGCATGGTCGGGCAGGACATGGCATGGCACGGTGAGAACTGACAAGGGCGTCGAGCAGAGAGAAAGCAGCTCGCTGCACGGCAGGGCCCCTTGACCCCGATGCCAGGTCCCTCAACTGATGGGGGGCGCGGCGTGGGTGGGCACAAAGAGGGTGGGGTGGGTGGGAGGCATGGGGATAGAGCAATGCAAGGTACACACGGGACTGGGGAGGCAGAGAGATGGAGAGCTCCGAGCCATACACTGGTACTCTTGATCCCGAGATTGAAATGACAGATTCCCATACCGGGTCTGCAGGAGTTTTAAATGAGGAAGCTGATGCGCATGCCACGGACGGCACGCAGGCAGCACGAGGCAGCGGTTTAGGGTGATGGGGAGGGGAGAGGCAGGTGCTTGCATGAGCATGAGCATGAGCACGTACGGAGGAGAAGAGATCGGTCTTGTAGGTGTCGTCCACGTCCATCCTGCATGCACACACCAAGAGATTCACACACAGATAAGCACACGGAATGACACGGCATGACATGACATGGCAAGGTAGGGCAGCGCATAGCAGAGCACGGCAGAGCAGGGCAGGGCAGGGCAGGGTACATACCAGGCTCTCTTAACGAGCACTGCCAGCACAGCAACCATCTTCTGCTCCACAAATGCATCGCCTCCCCCGCCCCCTCCCGCTCCCCCAGCCTCCTCCCTCGCTACGGCCCGCTTCACTATGTGGTCCAAGCAGTACCTGCCGCACAGCACCGCACAGCACAGCTCAGCACAGCACGTGGTGTGGTGTGATGGGTGTCGTTGAGACTTCTCTTGCAAAGGAATGTGAGGTGGCACGTGCAGTGTGGTGAAGAGCAGGAGAGGAGCAGTTGGGTGGCACGAGTGGCTGGCGAGAGTGGGAGCAGCATGCATACACAAGAGCACGTGAGAAATGCATATGCAGGGCCGGTAAGCGAGACAGGCTGGCATGAGCTTGCTGATGGATCATGGAACTGCCATGAAAGTGCTGGTTGTGGGACTGGCACGAGGCGCTACAAGGGTGCGCACTGCACCGGAGCCCTGAGAGTCGCCTCGAAGGTCACTTTTCACAACGGACCACCCACGTGCAGTACAGTGCAGTGCAGTGCGGTGCGTACCGGTGCAGCGAGGTGTGGTCGGCGGTGGGGATGCGGGGCCAGTCGCGCAGCACCACCTGCTGCAGCGTGGCCGCTGCCTGGAAGCATGCCACTGCGTTGCCAGAGTTGTCTGCCCGCAGGAGGGGGAGAAGGAGGGACGGGGTGCGAGGGGTGCGAGGGGTGGGAGGGGTGGGAGGGGTGGGAGGGGTGGGAAATGGGAGGGTAAAGAAGCGGGCGAGCGAGGGTTTAAGCTCTATGCAGGGTTTGGGTTTGGGGTTGAACATGCATGTGGATCTACGTGTGTGGAGGTATGCATGCATATATGAGGATGTGTGTGCATGTATGTGTGCATGTATGTGTGCATGTATGTGTGCATGTATGTGTGCATGTATGTGTGCATGTATGTGTGCATGTATGTGTGCATGTATGTGTGCACATGCGAGCACATGTAAGTACCGAGTATGTGAGTGCAGGCTTGCAATGCATGGGGCGATTTCCTCAGCTCCAGCAGCGTTGCCTCCGCAGCTGCTCTCCTCTCAGGAACCTGCCATAACGGTCCATACCGTGCCATGCCATGACGTGCCACCATACACCATACACCATACACCATACACCATGCCCCATACCATCCCATGCCATGCCAACATCAGGTCACGTCATGCCACGTGATATTAGAATGCATGTCTCTATGCTCTCACCGTGCGCGTGAACTCATTCTCATAGCATGCCCCTATCAGCCCCTTACTTAGCTGTTCAAAAAGCACTCACCGTCCCTTCCTAGCTCTCATTCTCCTCGCCCCTTTCCCTTGTGCACAGACGAATCACGCGCCACCCATACTATCACACGCTCCGTTACCACACTTCGCCTGCACAGCTCGCTAGCACGTTTCGGGCGGACGACTTGAGCAAAAAGAAGAAAGCACAAACAAGCAGCGAGGCGGCTTGAGCAAGAAGCTAACCTGCAGGTCATTGCACGCCGCTTCCACGCTCTGCAGCAGCGCCGCCTCCATGGCCGCTCGGCGCGCAGCAGCCTGGTAGAATCACGCGATCACACGGCAGCCGCAGTAACGGCAGGCGCAGGACCACTGGGAGCGCGCACTGACACGCGAGCCTCGGAAGCTCGGAATTGCGCGCCGAGCCTTACAGCTGCTGCACTGCACTACAGAATTCCCCTGCGAGCTACACAGACTTCCCGCGTGATCCTCCGGGAACGCAAAGACTAACGCACTCGGCGAAGCCGTCTCAACGGATGCTGCTCCGCGTCAACCCGCCATCACCCATCGTCGACTCGCTCGCTAGTCACTCCGTCACTCCCATCACCATCGCTCCCATCAATCCCATCGCTGCACTATTAATGTCTTAATCACTGCCTCCATGCATCGCTGCAGCAGCGGCCCTCCCCGATACCGTGCATCGCGGAACTGTGAGGGAGGCGTACGTCGTGAAAAGCGGATCTCCCAGGCGCCTATGCCTCGGGATCTCCGCACCGAATGGCGGAGGCGACACGCGACACGCGCGGCGAAATAGGATGGATGTGCCGGTCTGCGTAGGAGGAGAGCGACGGCGGAAGTAGAAGTTGGAAAACCAGATGACGAGTGCATGAGTTGGTGGCAAAGAGCTTGCTCGGTTGGTGCATGTGTGGCGGTGATTGCCCCCTCCACCCCTCTCCAATTGATGTAGAAGGGGTTTTACTTTAGGATATTTTATCGGAGTTGGGAGTGTAGTTGATTGCAATATTGTGGGAAAAGCGAGTCCTTGTTGGGAGTGAGGAGGACACCACAAGCGCAGTAACCGTCGCCGAACGTTCGCGATCTCTCGTTCAGGGCCGACTTTCGCTCATCTGCCACACCGAGGCCACGTGTTTGGCGAACGCACGAGCCACATCGCGGATCGCTCGCCGCCTGTCGCTTTTGCGAAACTCCAGCCCCAGAAATTCACCCAAGCTCCAAATCAGTTGAGGGCGCATCCCATCATTTTCCAATCTCGAGCTTGAATTTTCTCGGCCAAGACGGAAATCCCTAGGTTCCTCCTCACCTCAACAAGAGTGATTTCGCATTCCTTCCAGGTTGACGTGACGATTCATCGCCGTGGTGGTCGGCTTCGCGTATTCTCATTTCATCTGAGCGTCGCTGCCGCTAGGGCATTAGTGGCGGTACTTGCGCTTCCTTCTCCCAGCTCTGACAGATTCCCCAGAGATGCGATGTTGTCCTCCCCATCCGTACGCCTTGTAACGCGTACGTAATCTGAGACCGTTTTTTACGCGCTTGAAGCAAACATGCGTGAACTCTTTATTTCTCCCGTTTCTTTTCCCTTCAACTCGTTCCTAGTCCCTCCCCCCCTCTCACCCCTCCCCACTACCTGCCATTGCATTCAGCCGCTTGTCCCCCGCCACGTCATCGCGTGCCACCCTGTCGAGCGGTGCGAATGTCCGATCCAGCCTGGCAGCGCGTGGCCTCGCGGGGCATGCGCGCATGGCTGGGCGCTGGCGGAGTCGGCGCGGGCAAGGGCGGGGGGCCCGCGAGCGCGAGACACGCGGAGAGGCGCACAGGCGGGGGAGCGGGGCGGTGCGAGACGGTGGCGATGGCGGAAAGAAGCGGGGAATCCGCGCGGGATGGGGAAGGAGGAGAGGTGCAGGGATGCAGCCCGTCAAAGTTTCTGAGGTCTTTTTGGGACCATGAAAGGCGTGCCTTGAAAGCTGGTCTTTTGGGACTGCCGTCCATGCACGTTCCTGCTTGTTCTCTTCTCATTCTCGCGTGCGCTCTTCGCAGCCCTACCCAGTACCTTACCTTTCCATCCCTGCCCTTCCCCCTCCCTTCCCCCATGCCCACTTCCCCCCCCTCCCCCTCCCCTTCCCCCTCCCCTTCTTCTTTCACCTCCCCCTTCCCCACCCCCTCCCCCTCACCTCCCCCACAACCCTCCACCCTCCCATCGCCATTCACCTCCAGACGTACGCCGCTCGTCACATCCGCGGCCCCCCTCCCCTTCCCCCCTCGTCTCCCCTCTCCCCCTAGCCTCCGCCGGTGCCCCATCTGGTGCTAATAGCGGGAGGGATGAAGTATGGGAGAAAGAGGGGACGGGGAAGAGTGGGGGCGGGATGTGGAGATGGAGAGGGGAGGAGGAGGGGGAGCGGGAGGGGCTGATGGGCGAGATGGGGGATGGGGGATGGCAGAAGGGGAGGAAGCAGGAATACGAGCGGCTGTTTTCAAACCTGAATGAAGTGAACATGAGGCATGAGCCAGGTACGGGGAGTGCTTGTGTTGAAGCGAAGAGCATAATGTACATAGGGTAGTGCTTCTGCTGCTTCTGCTCAGCGTCTTAATCCTCTCTTCTGACTCGTTCGTACGCCACTTGAGGCGCTTTAAGGCGCCTCGGAAGAAACACATGAGTGCTTCTGTTCGTCCTATGCCTATGCCCATGCTCATGCCCATGCCTATGCCCATGCTCATGCCCATGCCTATGCCCATGCTCATGCCCATGCCCATGCCCATGCCTATGCCCATGCTCATGCCCATGCCCATGCCCATGCCTATGCCCATGCTCATGCCCATGCCCATGCCTATGCCTATGCCCATGCTCATGCCCATGCCCATGCCCATGCCTATGCCCATGCTCATGCCCATGCCCATGCCTATGCCTATGCCCATGCTCATGCCCATGCCCATGCCCATGCCTATGCCCATGCTCATGCCCATGCCCATGCCCATGCCTATGCCCATGCTCATGCCCATGCCCATGCCCATGCCTATGCCCATGCTCATGCCCATGCCCATGCCTATGCCTATGCCCATGCTCATGCCCATGCCCATGCCCATGCCTATGCCCATGCTCATGCCCATGCCCATGCCTATGCCTATGCCCATGCTCATGCCCATGCCCATGCCCATGCCTATGCCCATGCTCATGCCCATGCCCATGCCCATGCCTATGCCCATGCTCATGCCCATGCCCATGCCCATGCCTATGCCCATGCTCATGCCCATGCCCATGCCCATGCCTATGCCCATGCTCATGCCCATGCCCATGCCCATGCCCATGCCCATGCCCATGCCCATGCCCATGCCCATGCCTATGCCCATGCTCATGCCCATGCCCATGCCCATGCCTATGCCCATGCTCATGCCCATGCCCATGCCCATGCCTATGCCCATGCTCATGCCCATGCCCATGCCCATGCCCATGCCCATGCCCATGCCCATGCCCATGCCCATGCCCATGCCTATGCCCATGCTCATGCCCATGCCCATGCCCATGCCTATGCCCATGCTCATGCCCATGCCCATGCCCATGCCCATGCCCATGCCCATGCCCATGCCCATGCCCATGCCCATGCCTATGCCCATGCTCATGCCTATGCCCATGCCCATGCCCACATGTCACACTCACCACTCTCCCAACGCTCCCGCTTTCGCTCGTCCCCACTCCCTTCCACACACCACCACACGGCCTGCACGTGCATGCACCTGTGTGCGTGGCAGGCAGTCTCGTCAGCTCCACTCTCCTCGTCGCCGGCACCACGGTACTCTTCCATCCCCTCCATCACTCCCGCGACCACTCCTTCGTCCTTTCCCGTTCTCGCTCTGCACTGTCTTTCTCTATATCATGCCCCTTCTCTTCCCCCTTTCGCTCTCGGCAGGTGGGGGCGGGTATATTGGCGCTGCCAGCAGTGACGAGCGAGGCGGGCTTTCTGCCCTCCAGCGCCACCTGCATTGTGTGCTGGCTCTACATGGTATGCTATGCTGGCTCCACCACGCATTCATTCACTACACGTTTGTTATGCCATGCATTGCATCCCACAGAAGCCGCTGCGTACATGCCACAACAGGGTAGCAGCAGCTTCCACAAAGGCGGGTGTGCACGGCCCAATGATCCATTCTCAGTAGTAGTCCTTCTCTCTCATTCTCGGGTTGCCCTGCCCCTTTCACACTCCCTCTCACTCACTCATCCGCACTCCCCCTCTCTCTCACTCACGCTTCTTTTACGCCCTCTGCTGACCGTAATCACATGAAATGCTATGCTCTTCATCCCCTGTCTGTCTGTCTGCCATTCCATGCACACACCAGGTGGCCACGGGCATGCTGATAGCGGAGGTCAATGTGAACACCATGTGCGAGCTCGGCTCCGGAGGAGTCTCACTGGTAACTCCCATGCCTTACCCATGTCTCTTTGCCTTGCCGCCATGCTGCCGTGTTGCCATGCCAATCTCATGTTCCTCACCAAAGGGGCATACCTTGCCACATGACCCTGTAGCCACACGCCTTTTCATTCCCTTCATTCAAACAAGCCACCACCACCCTGTCCGTGCCATACTTCTCCTCTCCCTCGCCCTGCATCCACAATAAGTGTCCAAGGCAAAGTGCTGCCCACGCTCAAGCTGTCCTTACTGCCCATGCCCTCCCTCCCTTCCCTCCCCTCCATACCCTTCATACCCTCTCCCTGCACGCCATGGCGTCCATGCCCGCCCTCCCGTTCTTAAGGTGTCCATGGCGCAGCGTACGCTAGGCACGGCAGGAGTGTGGGTAGCAGGCACCCACTATGCGGTCATCACTGCCTATGTCTCCCGCTCCACACCCTCCCTCCCCGCCCTCCCCTCCCCCAGGTGTCCATGGCACGGCGCACACTGGGCACGGCAGGGGTGCGTGTAGCAGGCACCACGTACCTGCTCATCCACTACGCCGTCATCACAGCCTATGTCTCTCGCTCCGCCGACATCATCAGCACTGCTGCTGCTGTCCCACACGGCCTTGCTGCCTCCCTCTTCACCATCTCCTTCGGCGCCCTCTGCTACTTCGGCAGGTACTGCTGCCCTCTCCCTCTCCTCTACTCTCTCTCTCTCGCTTTCGGCTACTTTAGCTCCTTCAGTCCTTTTTCTCTCTCCCCACCCCCGTGTCCGTTTCACACCTATTGCCCTGCCGCTGGCCCCTAACCCTGCCACTGTCCCTTCTAGTGTCCCCTTGCCACCCCTGACCCTGCACCGCCCGCTCATACTCTGCACCGCCCGCTCATACGCTGCACCGCACGCTCATACGCTGCACCGCACGCTCATACGTTGCACCGCACGCTCATACGCTGCACCGCCCGCTCATACGCTGCACCGCCCGCTCATACGCTGCACCGCCCGCTCATACGCTGCACCGCCCGCTCATACGCTGCACCGCACGCTCATACGCTGCACCGCCCGCTCATACGCTGCACCGCCCGCTCATACGCTGCACCGCACGCTCATACGCTGCACCGCCCGCTCGTACGCTGCACCGCCCGCTCATACGCTGCACCGCACGCTCATACGCTGCACCGCACGCTCATACGCTGCACCGCCCGCTCATACGCTGCACCGCCCGCTCATACGCTGCACCGCACGCTCAAACGCTGCACCGCCCGCTCATACGCTGCACCGTCCGCTAGTACGCTGCACCGCCCGCTCATACGCTGCACCGCCCGCTCATACGCTGCACCGCACGCTCAAACGCTGCACCGCACGCTCAAACGCTGCACCGCACGCTCATACGCTGCACCGCACGCTCATACGCAGCACCGCACGCTCATACGCTGCACCGCCCGCTCATACGCTGCACCGCCCGCTCATACGCTGCACCGCCCGCTCATACGCTGCACCGCCCGCTCATACGCTGCACCGCCCGCTCATACGCTGCACCGCCCGTTCATACGCTCATACGCTGCACCGCACGCTCATACGCTGCACCGCCCGCTCGTACGCTGCACCGCCCGCTCGTACGCTGCACCGCCCGCTCGTACGCTGCACCGCCCGCTCGTACGCTGCACCGCCCGCTCATACGCTGCACCGCCCGCTCATACGCTGCACCGCCCGTTCATACGCTGCACCGCACGCTCATACGCTGCACCGCACGCTCATACGCTGCACCGCCCGCTCATACGCTGCACCGCCCTCTCATACGCTGCACCGCCCGCTCATACGCTGCACCGCACGCTCATACGCTGCACTGCCCGCTCATACACTGCACCGCCCGCTCATACGCTGCACCGCCCGCTCATACGCTGCACCGCCCGCTCATACGCTGCACCGCACGCTCATACGCTGCACCGCACGCTCATACGCTGCACCGCACGCTCATACGCTGCACCGCACACTCATACGCTGCACCACCCGCTCCACCACGTCCCAGCACTCCATCCAACCGTGTGTGTGACCATGTATCCGTGCAACCGTCCATTTCTGACCCCACCACACACCCATGCATCCATGCATCCACCCCAGCCAGCGGGCCATAGGGCTGGTGAACGGCATGCTGGTGGCGGGCATAGTGCTGTCCTTCGCCTTCCTGCTCGCCTTCTCCCTCGCTGACATCCACCCCCAAGCCCTGCTTGCCGCCAACATCGCTGCCGTTCCTGCCAGCGTCCCCATCATCGCCCTCTCCTTCGTCTACCAGGTGCTGCTCTTTCCGCTTTCTTCCATTGATATTGTATGTTTTTTTTCCACTTCATCTCCCGTTCCATTGTCCTGTGCTGCTTCTCCCTCTCTCTTCTTTTTTATGCTCAAATTGTTCTCCTCCCTCCACGCATCGCCCTCCCCCCTCCACACCCCGAGTGCGGCATCAGAACGTGGTGCCAGTGGTAGCAACGAACCTAGAGGGCAATCTACCGCGCATCCGCACAGCCATCCTAGCAGGCACAGCGCTCCCACTCCTCATGTTCCTGCTCTGGGACGCCGCCATCCTCGGCACCGCTCCAATCCCACCCCCTCCTCAACCACTCGTCGATGTCCTCGCCATGGCCTCCGATACCGCTGCTTCTGCTGCTGCGGCTGCGCCGTCTGCTGCGGTGGCTGCTGCGGAAACCATGAAGGTGGTGGATCCTCTGGCTCGCCTGCAGCAGATTGACCCTTCCGTAGGGGTGAGTGGCTCACCGGGTGAGTGACACAGTGTGCTTGCCCATGCGAGGCAGGATATGAATCTGTAATACAGTAGCTGCCAGCTCACTTGGTCTCTCTGTCCTCTCCCTCCTTCTTTCCCACCTTCCGTCCACTCACCACACCTTACTTTTGCCTTTCTCCTACCAAGTCTGTGAACCTCACGTCACGCCACCCCTCACCACTCCACACTTGCAGGGGGCGGTGCAGCTGTTCTCCTTCTTTGCTATAGCCACGTCCTACATCGGCTTCATCCTCGGCCTCTCTGACTTCCTTGCTGACGGTACCTGCCCAGCCCTCTGCACACGCCAGCACAGCCCCCACTCACATCCTCTCCCCCATCCACCTTCTCTCCAAACTCTGCCTCCATGCACTGTCCCATTCCCTGATGTCCTTCTCACTTGTCGCGTGCACTTTCTCCCTCCCTGCAGCAGCACCCACTTGTTTCTTCCTCACTGTACAATCTCCCCCACTTGCATCTCCCTCTAACCCCTCCCTCCCCCCTCACACCCCACCTCCCCTCCACCCGCCAGCGCTCAAGCTCCCATCAGGCCGGGGGCGAACCCCTCTGCCGTACATCCTCACACTTGCTCCTCCGCTCGCCTTCTCTCTCTCCAACCCCGACCTCTTCTTCACTGCTCTCGACCTTGCGGGCACATACGGAGGTGGGTGAGAGGAGAGGGAAAGGCACACATGCCTTGATACATACGGAGTTCTGTAGGCAGAACACATACGGAGTTCTGTGGAGTTCTGCCTTGATACACACATCGATGTCAAGTGATGATCAGCTTGGCTTGGCCTGCCTCTGTATTGGCCACCTGCAGGTTTAGATGTGGTCCGGGCTATGTCCATGTGCCGGTACTTCACCACCATGTGCCCACACTCAGGGGCTTGCTCACCAGCTGTTTCCCTGCCTCATCTGCTCTGATTCCTCTCCCTCATATCTCTCTCCCTCGGCCTCCTATCTCCCGCCTCGGCCTCTCCTCAAAGCAGTGCTGGTGCTGTTTGGCATCCTACCAGCAGCCATGGCATGGGTGGACCGTGCCTCTCTCCGGACCGCCACAGACCAGCCACGCCTTGTCCCGGGCGGCAATGTCACGCTCACGCTCATCATTGGCTTTGCTCTCACCATTATCACAAACGAGTTTGCATCCAACTTTGTCCACTGACGTTTTGTCAGCCTGCATGACATCTGCTTTGTACGGTATTTATTTTCCTTATAGTGGTAGAGGAGTGTGTGATTTGATTCAATTATACAGTGCCACTAAGTTCAAAGTGATATTTCTTGTCATGTTGCTTCATGAATTATTTCCACTCACTGTTTTGGGGGTTCGGGTACCTTTTTACATATAACGCAAAAACGGAGATCAGGGAACCAGAGCAGTTCGTGGGTGAAGGCCGAACAGCCACCCCTGCTCCTTGCGTGCGTGTCTTGCGGCGACGAGCTGACTTAGCAGGAGAGAGATCTGCTGCGATCTAGACGCTTTTCAAACTACCGGATTATGGGCGTCACGCGCATTCGGCTTGCGCGGTTCGGTCGTAAGAACCTCCCGTTTTTCCGCATCCATGTCGCCGACAGTAGGTGTCCCACCGGCGGTCGGCATATCGAGTGCGTCGGCCACTACAACCCGCTGCCAGGTCAGGCTTCCTTGCCCGCGTTTACGGTCCGTAGCATATCACTAATCCCCGTAGTTTCTTTCGTACCTTGGGGTTGCCCCAGTTGTCTCGCGGTTGTCAACCTATGCGATACTCGATACCGGCGGTCTCATCCCGTGAAGTTGCGTGTGTCTCCTGTTTCCCCGCTGTACATTCTTCCTTTGCCGTGCTTCTTCTCCGTGCCTTCTCATTGCTTGCGTGTGTGCGCGGTTCGCGTGCAGGCAAGGACGGAATGAAGCGCATCGGAATCAACACTGAACGCATCAAGTGAGTCACCATCCTTTCCGCGTTCATCCTTACTCATAATCCCTCATTCATCCTTACTCCTCATCCCTCATTCCTTATTGCTCAATCACCGTGTCATTCCTTGTCTATCTTTGCTGCATGTCAGCGTCACCTTGTTGCTTACTTTCTGTCTTCACCGAACGTGTCTTGTCCTGCCTATCTGCCCCTTTCCATCACACTTGAGATCGTTTTCGTTGGACGGTCAGCGTTTTCCACCTCCAACTTGCCTTGTTGCTTGGCCTTCCTTAACTTACCGAGCCCGGTCAACACCTTAACCCTACACAAGTCCCACAAGCTTTTTGTCTCTCCCTAGGTTTTCCTTTCCCACTCTCTCATCTACCACTTCCGGAGAGCCCAACGTAACTCTTGCGGGCCTAGCAAAGCACAACACAAGTGCTGCCTCATAATTTTGTCAGCCCTGAAGTTCATAGTCTGCTTCTAGATTATGGGTATGGACTCTGGATACCTTGAATGCATAGCTTGCACTCTGTGTGTTCTGTCTCCTCGCCACCCTTGCGCAGTCACCCTTTCTTACCTAACGCTTTCATTGTAAAACCCTTGACCAACAGGTACTGGCTGTCAGTGGGAGCGCAGCCCTCAGAGACGGTTGCAAAGCTTCTAGGCCGGATAGGGTTGCTACCACCTCTTCCTGTTCCAAAGCAGTTGCCACAAGTACCAAAGCCAAATGTGGCTAAGTGATTTGTTTCTGTAGCGGAAAGGTAGCATGTCTGACGAAGAAAGAGAAGACATAGTTCTGTTAGCAATAAAACTATTAGAAGACATAGAAAACATGTACCTAAATGAATTCACCTTCTGTTCAGTGTTTTTTTAGTACACATATATATTGCGGGAAAGTATGCCAATGGTAACATACATGGGGCTCTTTAATGCGTACAGTAACTATTACAGTACATTTTCACGCGTTTGGTAACTCGTTTCACGCAATTGGTAACTTAGCACAGGCGAATGATCACGCGAATGGTAACTAGATGAAACTCCCGCCGAAATGATCCTGACTAAAAGGAATTTGTTAAATTGAAAGATTTCACGGACCGTTTTATCGATAATGAACGATTCCTGCCGTGACTTTGAAGGATTGCGTTTGTTCAATTACCACGGACCAAATAGTTTCAGAGTAGTTTCATATCTATTTTAAGCTCGGAAATATAGTACTAACAAGTACAATTATATTTTTGCAAGCATGATTGCATAATTGCAAAATGGGGAAATTTCCCCGGAAAAGCGACAATAATTTAATTAAAAAAATGTGTAATTAATGCAACGTGGGATAATTTTGGAGGTGGGAAAATAATACCCTTCCGAATGGCATGCCTTTATTGTTGAAATAACCTTGAACACCTTGTCGCAAGGAGTTTAGGGTTGATGCTCTCAAAATCATTTGCCATCCGAAAGGGGTATATATTGTTTGCCCTGGTTGTACGACAGAATTAGGTAAAATCAATTTTCCGCGAGCGCCAGAATATCCGCATTATATTATAAACGGTTTTCGAAACAGCAACTTTTCATGAAATAGTCTGAATTTCGGAAAGTGTGTCAGAATTTCGGAAAGTGTGTCAGAATTTCGTGCTTCAGGACTCGTCAATTCAGTCTGGCGCGAGCGGGAAAAACCAGAATCAAGGTCAAGTTTGACGAGGGTTTCTTCTAGTTACCATTCACGTGATGGCTTGCCAGTGTATAGTTACCAAATGCGTGAATCGAGTTACCAAAAGCGTGAAAAATCATTGTTATGGTTACCGTACGTGTTATAGAGCCCCATGTATGTCAGATTTATATGACAGAGCTACTGTAGGCTATAGTGGGGTAGCACATATGGGGTACAGTTTTCTAGGGTTTGTATTTGTACCCAACTTTCCCTTAGTCATTCTCATTCCTGTTCTCTTAATTCTCATGGTATAGAGCGGGTTCCTACATGGGACCGTTCCTTCCTAAGGGCCCACCATAACGAAATTTTTTTTTTTTTAGCTGCCCGACGCGCATTGCGCCCCTGCCCTATTTTTTTTAGCGCCCCCCCCCCTAGCGGCCCCTACGCGACCCCTACGCGGCCCCTACGCGGCCCCTACGCGGCCCCTACCCGGCCCCTACGTCGCCCCTGACGCGGCCCCTACGCGGCCTCTGACGCGGCCCCAACGCGGCCCCTGACGCGGCCCCAACGAGGCCCCTGACGCGGCCCCAACGCGGCCCCTGACGCGGCCCCTACGCAGCCCCTGACGCGGCCCCTGCCGCGGCCCCTGACGCGGCCCCTACGCGGCCCCTACGCTGCCCCTGAGGCGGCCCCTGACGCGGCCCCTGACGCGGCCCCTCCGCCGCCACTACCGCGGCCCCTACGCCGCCCCTGACGCGGCCCCTGCCGCGGCCCCTGACGAGGCCCCTGACGCGGCCCCTGACGCGGCCCCTGCCGCGGCCCCTGACGAGGCCCCTGACGCGGCCCCTAACGCGGCCCCTACGCCGCCCCTGACGCGGCCCCTGACGCGGCCCCTGACGCGGCCCCTGACGCGGCCCCTGACGCGGCCCCTGCCGCGGCCCCTGCCGCGGCCCCTGACGCGCCCCCTGACGCGGCCCCTGCCGCGGCCCCTGCCGCGGCCCCTGACGCGGCCCCTGACGCGGCCCCTTCGCCGCCCCTGCCGCGGCCCCTACGCCGCCCCTAACGCGGCCCTCTCCTGCACCTGACGCGGCCCCTAGCGGCCGGCCGCTGCCGTCCCTGAGGCAGCAGCCGCCGCCTTCTCTGCAGCAGCAGTCGCAGCCGAACGGCCGAGCCGCCGAGCCGCCGAGCCGCCCAGCAGCCGAGCCGCCCAGCCGCCGAACCGCCCAGCAGCCGAGCCGCCCAGCAGCCGAGCCACCGAGCCGCCCAGCAGCCGAGCCGCCGAGCCGCCCAGCAACCGAGCCGCCGAGCCGCCGAGCCGCCCAGCAGCCGAGCCGCCGAGCCGCCCTGCAGCCGAGCCACCCGAGCCGCCCTGTCCGGTAAGAGCAGCGCCCCTTTCACAGCACTGCCCTCACCCTACTGTTTGCGCTGCTAGTCTACTACTGTCATGGCTACCCCTAGTGTCCTCGCTTTTGACGCTGAGGGTCGGGCCATTGACTTTGATGTCTGGATAGATGACCTGCAGCTTTTCTTACAGTGCGACAGGGCAGACGACCTCTCCCTCTTTGACCTCACTTCTGGTGCCTCTCCTGCCCCCGCTGCTGATGCTGACGCCACTGTTCGCTCACAGTGGGCCACGCGCGATGCTGCTGCACGTCTTGCTGTGCGTCGCCACCTGCCTACCTCTGAGCGTGCGCACTTTAGCCAGTACAAGAGTGCTCAGACCTTGTACGACGCTGTAGTTGCGCGCTACTCCTCCCCTGCCACTGCTGCACTGAGCCGCCTCATGCTACCGTACCTCTTCCCTGACCTTGCTGCCTTTCCCACAGTCGCTGACCTCATTACGCACCTCCGCACTAGTGACACTCGCTACCGCGCTGCGCTTCCTGCTGAGTTCTGCGCCAAGAACCCCCCCCCCATGTACATCACCCTCTACTACATAGTCACCCGGCTCCCTGACTCCCTTCGCGTAGTCAGGGACCACTTCCTCTCAGTTTGCCCCACCACTCTCACCGTTGACCTCCTCGAGAAGTCCCTCCTAGTAGCAGAGAAGAGCATAGTCGCTGTAGGAGCCTCTCGTGGTGACCCTCGCACCCCCATCTTTGAGGGGTGTTCCCCCTCCCCCCTTTTGC